TTGCTACTGCCCGGCGTTGCTCCTGCCCGGCGGTCCGTCGGCTCCCCCCCCCCCCCACCCTTTCACATGCGCTGCCCTGCCGGCTGGCTCGGCTCTGGTTGTGCGCTCTTGTCGGGCGGCGCGACGGCGGCCACGCGGGCGGAGAGGACGAGGCCGGCGAGGAGGAGGATGAGGGGGGCGGAGAGGAGGGCAAAGTAGAGGAGCAGGGTGTGGTCTGCCGTCCGCAGGCCGGGCAGGCCTCCGAACCGGAGGTCGCCTGCGTCGTCGACCCAGTCGGCGAGGAGGGCGTGGCCGGAGACGGCCTGCACCGCACCGAGGGCGAGGAGGCAGTAGCCGCCCGCCTTGTGCGCAGCCTCCCACGCGCGCCGCGCGCCGGAGCGCCGTTCCCCCGCCAGAGGGGCGGCCGGGCGCAGCAGCCCCGCCACCGGCTGCAGCGCGAGCAGCACGCAGAGCGCGAGGCCGAGGCCGCGGTGCGAGCCCGCGAAGCCGCCCTCCCACTCGTTTGGCCGGAAATGGGTCGATAGACCCCGGTCGCCCACGACGTACACGCCCACCGCAAGCCCCGCGAGCGAGGCCGCCAGTCCGCACACCTGCGCCGCGATGTGAGCCTTGAGCCAGCGGCGCCCGCCGCCGAGCGCGCGGCGCCACGACACCGACGCCACGGCGCCCGTCGGGAGGAGGAGGGCCCACGCCACCGCCATGAGCACCGCGTGCCCGAGGATGAGCCGCTCCCGCCGGCCGAGCGGAGGCTCGTCCACGGGCGGCCGGGGAGGCCAGGGCGGGGCGGCTGACGGCGGCGCGCACGTGGGCATTGTGCGCGACGTGGCTTGGTCCGCATGGCCGGGCAGAGAGAGGTCGTCGACCTCTGGATCCGGGTCGCCCTGTTTCCAAACACAGCATGGATCCCCGAGCTCAAGCCCGTTGGTCCGGTTGTCTCCGTCCGAGTCCCTCTCGCAGAGCCAGCGCGTCCAAGTGCGATCGGCATAGACCTCTCGCGCGAAGTCTTCTGCGAACTTGTTTTGGTTACCGACCCCCCCCCTGCCCGACTTTGCGTGGCCGACGGAGTCTCGCGAGTAGCCGAGTTCTGCATGGACCGCGTCCGCCAGCGGTTTGCCGTTGGGGATCCTCGCCAGGTAGATTTCTTCCGCTCGGGCGAGGGGAAGGAGGAGGGCGAGGAGCCGGGCTACAACCATGACGGTAGACACGGTTGAGACTTGCTGTAAGACCGCTAGAACGGCGGCTCAGGCGGCTCGGCGGCGTGCAGTCGGCGGCGTTGAGCAGCAAATCAATGTAAAAAAGAAACCTTCACAGCTATTTTTTGCTTGGCGTACATCATGAAAAATGAGGGGGCCGCGCACGGGAGGCGGGAGGGCGTTCCCACGGGGGGTGCGTTCCCACGAGAGGGTCACGCCTTCCTACTACCGAGGTTTCTTTCTCTACCTTCTACCTGTATTAGTGCCAGTGCGCGCCAGTCCCGTGCCTAAAGAAAGAAAAGAAAGAAAACAGACAACACAAGGGAGGGATGGGAGGACGACGGCACGCGCGCACGCCGCCACCACACAGGGATTTCACAGGGATTTCAATCATCGCGTGGTCGCGTGGCGACACCTTCTGGCCGAGGACGCGCTCGACCATCCGGCCCACGCGCAGAGTCGCAGACAAAATAAATGCAGAGATTTGTGCCTTTGTGCCCCCGACAAAACACATCGTCCGGGCCCATAGCCATACAATGTTACAAAGGCGCGCAAAAAACCAAAACGCGTCTAGAGAGCTGAGAAAAGTACTTTTGGGACGGGAGGACGGCACGCCGCCACCACACCTGTCAGACTCGGGCAGAACGCACGCTGATTTCTTTAACGGCACGCGGTTGTGGCACCAGCTGAAGGCTTGCCCGACGCACATCACGCAGTTCGTGCACGGTATTCGGATTTTGCTATTTGCTCGTGTGGGGGTATATTGCAGATTTGAAACCACGGCGTGGGGTGGGTGGGGTGGGTGGAAAGGCTTAGAAACGGCGGCGTGCCGCGGGATCCTGTTTTCTTAATGCCCGCAACAGACTGTATGTGTGTGATGTGTGTGTAGTGTGAATTAGGTGCGCTGCCGCTTGGCGGCAGCCACCTCCGCATACGCGGCCTCGACAGTCTTGGAGAACCCTGTCCACGCCTGAGGATTCTGCACTAGCGATTCTGCCACCCAAGACAGGATTCTGTATGCGGAGGCTCGAGAGGGATTCGTGTCCGTTTCTTCTGATTCTCACTCTCCTTTTCCGGTTCTGCCTACTCGATCTGATTCTGCCCGTCCCCTTTCCACGCACTCAGCCTCCGGGCAGGATTCCTCACCCAGCTTCCGTTTCTGCCTAATCGATCTGATTCTGTCCGTCCGATTCTCGCCTTATCAGATTCTGTCGCGCGGTTGCGGTTTCTGCCTCCGGATGCCGGAAAGGGAATTTTCCGCTCTGCCCGCCGATTTCTTGGCAACCCGGCCGGACTCTCGTTTCCTGATTCCTGTTTTTGCCCGTCGAGGGGCGGTAGCCCGGCCGGCCGGCCATCTGGGCATGCTCACTCAACCAATCACGCTCATGTGTACGCGCCGTATCCTCCGCGCCACCCACTTTGCCATCGAAGTGCGCTCCGCGCTCCGCACAGTACAGTCGCTTTTGAACGGCGGCTCATCACACGTGCGTCAGAGATCTCATGGGCGGTGGCATGGTGGAGCCAGAGCAGTGCGCGGCCGATCTTAATTCTGGGCAGGCGGTCTCCCATTCCCGCGGGCGCTTGGTGCCGGGGTTTGAACGGCATGCCGGCGTCAGATGCAGCTTGGCGCCGGCCTGCGGCGACCCGCAAGCGGTCGTTGGTGCTGCTCAGCGATGCTCACAGCGGCACGTCTGCTCTTTTGCTGTGGGGAGTGCTGTCTGATTGGGTCTCCAAGCCCGCGGGCTCGCTGTGAATGCACCCGCCAGCTAGGCAGCTCCGCGGCGGTGTGGGTGTAGAACGGGTAGGCTGCTGTCTCGTGTCTCGGTGCTCGTACTAAGTCAATGGGAGGAGTGCTTCAATTTCTTCTTCTTATACGCCCAGCTCAAAAGCACACACGCATCACGACGCCTAGACAGGCGAGACGCGGCGACAGCCGCGGCGAGCTCGTTTTAGAAGCGAGCCGCTCGCGGCGAGCAGTTTTAGAAAAAGGGAAAAGGGGGAGGGTTAGTTTGAACCCGAGCCGAGCTTCGCTCGGCTCCCCCCCGCGCGGGAGCGCCCCCCCCCCCTCTCCTCGGGGGGGCGGGCAGAGCCCGCACCACACACTGCGCCTTTGCGGACGCCGGACCGAGGCCTAAGCGCTGAGTGCGCTGACGTGAGGCTGGAGCGCCAGAGAGACCCGCGCCTGAGCATGCTGCCGCGGGCGAAGTTTGAGTGAGCTGTGTGAAGCCCCGCGCACACGCAATATCGGCTCAGGAGTTCGGAGAGTCAGGCCAACATAGGATCCCGCTGAAATGCGTAACTCCGAGGAATCAGGAATCAGGAATCAGGAATCAGAATCCCGGCCAAAATGTTGGAATCAGGAATCAGGAATCAGGAATCAGAATCCCGGTCAAAATGTGGGCGATCCGACAAATCAGGAATCAGGAATCAGGAATCAAATGGAGCATCAAGAATAGGAAGAGAGACAGGAGAATCGGGAGGGGGGAGCAGAATCAGGAATTGGCTCTGGCTGCCCTAGAGAATCGGAAAGGAAGCGGAGGAAACGAGAATGGAGAATCAGGAAGCTGAAAGCGGGGCCAAGATGGGAGAGTCTGGGGAGAGAATCAGAATATCTGAGCAGAAGAGGAACCTGGGAAGGGGAATCTAGTGAGAGGTAGAATAGCAAGAATCCTTGTGTAGTAGAGCAGAATAGGAAAGGCAGAATCCTTAGGCGCGGACAGACTTCTCCATTACTCGGCCTCGAGCTCTCCCGCCACGACTGAGGCTGGGGGGGGAGCACCATCGTGATCTCCATCTCCATGATCTCGTCCAGCGTCGTTGGCTCCGTCTCGGTGGTGCCGTCGTCGTGCGTGACCCGCTTGTAGAACTTGACCTCCTTATTGAAGCCGGGGACCACCTTCACCACCTCAGCGAGCCGCTGCAAGCAGAGGGTGGGAGGTCATGATATCTCATTGTGGGTGGCGGGAAGGCAGTGGCTGGTGACGCGGCTGCTGGCAAGCGCGCGCGCCTTGGCGAGGTACTTGGGAGTGGTGATGAAGTGCTTGCGGTGGTAGTGGACGTTGGTCCAGCCCTCGGTGCCCTCGTAGTACGGGTTGGCGTACTTGGTGTCGCGCCCAGTCGTCCTGCCCTGGAAGATGATAGCCTTCATCTTGGCGCGGTCGAACGGCGTCATCTTTGGATGAATCTCTTTGTGCGAGTCGAGGACCTTGAAGAGCTTCGTGTTGAGCTCGTCCTAGCGATATGGGGAGTCAGGATGAGCCCCGCGCGCGAGGGCGCTGGGCGAGAGGGGTTTCGAACCCGTGTGGTCTTGATCATGCCGGGTTCGACGGAGACGACGCCGTTGCTCGGATCCACGATGCACTCGACCGTGTGCTGATGGAACGGTGCGGTGTCAGGGCGGTGGGTGGGGTGTGCGGCCGGGAGCGGGGAGAGCACCTCGTCTTCGACGCTGTCGCCGAAGACCATGTCCTTGACCACCTTCTTGGCCGGCGTTGGGGCCTCGCTTGCCGGCGTGACACAGTCGTCGCCCTGTGGGGTGCGGGCGGATGTGCTTGGGCGATTCGGGCGCGTAGGGCGGGCGGGGGGGGGGGACGCTCGTGGAGGGGGGTGGGCACCCAGTCCGTCTCCGCAGCCTTGCCCTTGGGGGTCTCCGGCATAGCGAAGATGCGCAGGTGCGCAGGTCCGAGCTGCACTGAGGTGGCAACTCGTCGGAGCTTCCGGGGTGACATCTAGGGGTCAGTGGTCGTTTCCGCAGGCGAAAGGACAAGACGTGTTTTTAAAAAAGAAACGTAGCCGGGTTTATTTTTTGCTTGGCGTACATCATGATGAAATTCTGCAAAAACCTGGCCGGCCCCTGCCCTGCCCCTGCTACCTACCTACCTACCTACCTACTTACTTATGGGAAACTAAAAAAGAAATCACCATATGGGTGAACAGATAAGCCTCTCTCAGGATCACAGACACCCCTCTCAGGATCACAGCACCGGCGGGGGGGCGCCTCAGGATCAAGCACCCACGGCAGGGTCTGTGGGGATCAGCAGACCTGGAGGGGGCGCACTGAGGATCATAGGCCTGAGAGGGGTGCTGTCAGGATCACAGGCCTGCAAAGGGTGGCACTCGAGATCAGAGCGCCAAAACAGGTGCAATACGGATCAGCGGCCGGAAGTGGGCGCAATAAGGATCATGAGCGCCGGAACGGGTGCAATAAGGATCACGAGGGCAGATTGGATCGTTTGCGCATCGCCCGCCCCCCAAAACGGTTCGCCCCAAAATCGCGCCGCCAGAACCGTCGCGCCCCGGATCACGTGCGCTGGGCCGGGCGCTCATGAGCGTTTTCTCGCTCATGCGCTCGCTGGGAGGTGGCGCCGGGCTGGCCGTCGGCGCCACTCGCGCGCTCGGCGCCGCGGCGCCGACTGCAGCATTGGCAACAGCGCCGAGGATCGCGATCGTGACGGCGGCCGCAGTACGGCTCCACGGACAGCAGCAGACTATGGCGACCTTTCTCGACGAGGTGCAGCGAGACGGCTGGCATCGCGTCTGCCCCGCCGGCCTCAACGCAAACCCTCGCAAGATCTGGCTGCTGCTCGGTGGGGGACTGGCAGTGTCCGCCGCCGCCGAGAAGACGCCGCCGACCGGGTGCTCTGGTTCCGAATCGGAGTCGGGGTGCTCTGGTTCCGAATCGGAGTCGGATGTCTTTGGATCAGGTGGCGAGGGGAGCGCACTCTCCTCCGGCACAGAGACCGAAGTGGATGTGGACAGCGAAGATACCGATGACGGCCAGCGAGGTGGCACATCGGGTGCGGCGGGACCAAGCCATGCAGCGACGGCCTCCGATTTCGATGACGCCTCCGCTTTCATGTCGCCTACGCGCCCTCGCGGACGTGCTGGTAGGGCTGAAGCAGGACGCGCGGGCGGGCGAGGAGGGCGAGGCGGTCGCGGTGGCAGTGACGATGCACGGCCGACACGGCACGACATGAACTGGCTAACAGTCCAAGGTGGCA